TGACGGCGAAAACATTCTGTGTTTACCATATTTTCCTCAATATAAGGCGCACCTTCAATGAATGGCCTATTTTAAAACTTTTTTCATATATAAGGCGCACCGCATTATAAGGCGCATAGAATAGACGCTACAGTAGAGGCTGGAGTTACGTTATGCATCCACTAGATGGAGCTGCACTAAGGCGAATGTCAACAAAACAGACTCTGGTCGGTTAGGAGAGCCTTCCGCGACTGGGCCGGGGCGTGGCCGGATGATGGTCACCCTTCTTCGTTCGCGCACAGCATGTTGGTGGAGAACGTGGTGCTAAATGACCTGCAGACGACCTGATTATAGACGGTTGGTAGGTAGATAAGTCTGTCAAACTTTATTAACAAACCAGCGTTCTGACAACTATCCCAGAATGCACCTCGCGTGTCTTCTTCTACGGGCGAAAATGAAGTAGGTGGCTGCTTACCGTAGTTGCTAGACCTTGTGGCTCAATATTGGTCCATATATAAGGCGCACCAGATTATAAGGTGCATTGTTGGCTTTTGAAAAAATTTAAGGGTTTTAGGAAAAAAGCTAAACTAAACAAAAAAGTTTTCTGATAAAATAAGAAATAATTATGGGGTTGATGTGCATTTGACAACTGACGTTAACCAGTCAGGAAAAGATTGGTTAAAAAATGTGTTTTTTGAGTTGAATATTGCAGGGGGTACAACTTGTTGAGAATAAATAATTTTGAGTTTTCCTTTTATCTCTTTTAGTTAGTTGCTAAGCTATATGTGTGGAAATGCAAATGAGATCTATAGATAAGGGATGACATATTTTGGTATTAAATGGAATTCATGAATTCAACTCACTGACTTCTTTAAGCTCTTACATCAAGAACTCAGAATGGAGAACGAATGATTCTCCACAAACTTGAAATATTCAATTTTTTTCCATGTATTTGTCGGCCTTGAATATTGAGAGAAATAGCAATACCTAGTTGTGCAGTGTACGAGAAGCAACACTTTAAGTATTGCTTTATGTTTACAAATTTTGTTAAATTAACAAATACTTTTTAAAATTATGCAATTTTGTAACTTTTCACACATGCCCTGATGTGTTGAAAATTTTTGTCCTCGTGGGAAAACACC